GTACCGATTAGGGACTCGTCTCGGCGGGGGCAGCTTTGGGACCGTCTACGCTTGTACTGATACCAGTAAGTCTCGTACCACACCTTCCCCACATTATCCTCCTTATTAGTAACTGGTCAACAACTAGCTGCAAAGCTCGAGCCAGTCGATTGCAAACACCCACAGCTTTTGTATGAGGCCAAGCTCTATCGCTTGCTATCCGATGAGCATCAACAAGGAATTCCAAGCGCGTATATAAACACCACTTCGAAAAACTGACATTTTTCATCACTCATTTTTTCGCAGATTCTGGTTTGGGGTAGAAGGCGGCTATAATATTCTCGTTATGGAACGACTGGGACCTAGTCTGGAGGATCTATTCACGTAGTATTATCTGGCTAACAAGGAGGTTATTACTATTAACGTCAATGACGAGCGCCTCCAGTGGATTCATGTATACGTGATTGCCCTCGGGAACTAGCCTGACGATATTGAAAATGTCATAGGACGTAACGAACCGATAATAATCGCTCTATTAAAATTTTTGATATGCATTCTCATCATTGCCATTTTGACTTACACGCAAAGACCTTCTAACCAAGTGTTTGTTTCCTTGAAATGAATTACAGCAGTTGACTTAGGTATTGTAATAAGCGTCTCTCGGTGAAGACCTGCAGCTTGCTAGGCGAGCAGATGATTGCCCGGATCGAGTACTGTCATAGTCGCTCATTCATTCACCGCGATATTAAACCTGATAACTTCATGATGGGTAGTGGTGATAATGCGGGGATTGTTTATCTCATTGATTTTGGACTTGCCAAACGATTTTGGGAGTCATCGTCTTCTGCAATGGGTGGCGGACATCATATACGTTACAAGGAGAATAAGAATCTCACTGGTAAGCAGCGATGAGGAGGTGGCGGAGTTACGGTATGACAAATACAGGTACGGCTAGATACGCGTCTATTAACACCCACTTGGGTATAGAGCAATCTCGGCGAGACGATCTTGAAGCTCTGGGATACGTCCTAATCTATTTCATGAAGGGTGGATTACCCTGGCAGGTAGTGCTGAGGCTTTAGCGTTAATGACAAAATTGTGGTTGTTGTTATTACAGGGTCTTCAAGCTCGTACAAAACAGGAGAAATACTCAAAAATCACCAAGTCTAAACTGAGCCATCGTGTTGACAGTTTATGTCAAGGCTTGCCTGATGAATTCGGGGAGTATTTGAAACGGGTTCGAGGTTTGAAGTTCGATGAACAGCCCAAATATGAGCAGCTACGTGGGCTTATGGCTTCTGTTCGGGTAAGACTCGATCAAATGATGATGCAGTTGTTAGTATTTCGTCGTGAGGAATCATATGTGGTGATTGGCAATTATGTTATATATATAAATTTCAAGGCGTATTGGACGTCATTTGAACACTATAATGAACGAGTCACAATCGTGTTTCAGGTTTTGGTGGTTGCTTCCGTTTTTGAATTGTATTTTTGATTCTCGAACCGTCGTAAGGGGGTTATTATTGGTGTTGTTTTCAGTTACGGTCTAATTACCCATCAGATGAGGAGCATCTGGATTGTAAAATAATGAAGAGTTTGCTGTTCCAACGAGAGCAGCAGTTTGAGCGTGAGAAACGCTCAGGCCCTCTGACTCCTCCAGGCTATTACCATTGAACTAAACAACTACGATGACGACTATTAATGATTCACTATAATCAATTCTCATAGGCTGATCTAGTAGTTAGTGACTTGATTGCCATCGTCATTCTCAATGGTAGTCCAACATGAGTCGTTGTTGTTATCATTGTTCTAGTCTAGCTTCGTTGCTCGTACATGATGCTATGCTCTCGCTGCTTGCACTGTGGCTTCTGTTGCCGGTATTCACTGTAGGATGAGATAATACGGCGTACTATTTACAATCACCACTATTGCCATCCTGCTGACTAAACTTTTTCACTATAAGTAACATGCCGAGTTTGGTAAAATGTGGTGTTATTAAAGGGTGCAGAACTTACGGAGATATCGTTGGATGATATTCATATGGTCAACTATTCGTGTCAATTACAATATGTTAATTCTGAAGGGACTAATCGAAATTCGTGTTTGTTTTTGTACACTTTTACCTTGAGTATGTAGTGGTAAAATGCTTGAGCTTAACGGAGGAGCTCTTACTGTACATACTTTTGTTTATACACACTGCTCTCATTCTTATACTTGGGATTGCTTCTTTCTCTTCTCTTGTGTAGCGTATTGTTTCCCAAGCATAACAACTGGGAAGTATGCTCCAGTGCAGCCGATAACATAGCCTGTAAAGTTGCCCTGTGGATCACAGGTATGCGAGATATTGCCTCGCATACCAGTAAGATATACCTTGCAATGGCATAGTTGCCCCACTCATAGGGATTAGTCATAGCAAGATATACCTTGCAATGGCATAGTTGCCACACTCATAGGGATTAGTCATGGTAAGATATACCTTGCAATGGCATAGTTGCCCCACTCATAGGGATTAGTCATAGTAAGATATACTTTGCAGTGGCATAGTTGCCCCACTCACAGGGATTAGTCATAGTAAGATATACCTTGCAGTGGCATAGTTACCCCACTCATATGGATTGATCTTAGTATGGCATATCTTGCAATGGCATAGTTACCCTACTCATATGGATTGATCTTAGTATGGCATATCTTGCAATGGCATAGTTGCCCCACTCATATGGATCGATCTTAGTAAGGCATATCTTGCAATGGCATAGTTGCCCCACTCATATGGATCGATCTTAGTAAGGCATATCTTGCAATGGCATAGTTGCCCCACCCATATGGATTGATCTTAATAACAACGGACTAACCCAGTGTTTACTTCTACACATTCGTTCCGATTATACCAACTCAAAAGATGCCAGTCCATACCTGCACGCATGCACAATTAAAAACTGCCACACAACTTGATAATTGATACGCATCATAGAGGGACACTCTACGATGCCGCTCCGCTGTGCTCGAGATGGCCAAACGATTCCAACATGAAATCTATGGGCTGTCGTCACGTGTTGGAGCCTAGCTCTACGAATTGGCAAGATAATACTTTCGTGACGACAAGAAGTGTTGACCCAGCTCTATCTCTCATAGATGGGAAAGGTATGACTACACAACACAATATGGACAGAGATGGAATCAGTATCCGAAGGAAAATACAACATCCGAGGAGCATCTCAATGGATCCCTGGTATCGTTATTTGCTATAGAAGAGCACACAATAGAGAAGAGAAGCTGATTCCACGAAGCTTAAGTTTAAAAACATATGAACAGTGTAATAGAACCACTACAACCGCCAGCGAGCATGTCCGACTCGGGCCGGGGCTCTCAATGACGATTTACGACAGGTTGTAGACGTGACGTCTAGGACACCTTATAAAAGTTTGTAGCAAAGCGACTCGACTACTGACTTACAAGCATGGCAACAACAAGAACTGGACATACATAGACTAATGCTGTTAAACACCGAGTAGAGTAGACTCCTCTCTGTTAATGAAGACGTAACTTCTTAAGATTCGCCGAAGTCCTCAATGGCACCAATGGAACCAATGACGATCATAGGAATACACCAAATCAACACAATACAGATTACTATCGTTTCTATAACGTGCTTCCTGACATACTTCTTCACTGAACCTAAACCATGACACTAGCGTGATTGTAAGTAATAGAAATATATGGGACTTACCAAGAACGAATTGTTGCACCCTAACGTAGAATATACAGGGCATCATTGCAACCATGATGACCATAGTGAACGAGCCTAATACATTAATCAGACTCTGAATGTTAGGGACAACTTCGGCGATCAACAGGGTGAATGCAATACAACAGAGTCGAGCAATGAACCTCTTGATTGTAGCCTTCCACGTAGTATCTTCAACCTTTATATGACACCAATACTCAAGGGAAGAAGCAATGGGCAATAACATCACCTAAAAATAGTAGAATATAATTCTCACTACTACTCATGAGTTTTGTATGATACTTACCACATAATGCGGAATACTTGAACAAATGACAGCGATTTCGGTCAAATACCCCCAAACGCCATGCACTGGTTGATCAGGAGGGACGATGGAATCCATAATAGGATGTGCCTTAAGTTCATCACCGTAACCATAATAGCCGCATATACCAATACCAATGTAACTGAAGCGAATCGATATGTTCAATAACCAAGAGAATATAGCTGATACTCACACTGTTAGAATAATGCCATATGCAGCAATTGCAACGCCTTTGAAATGCGTAGGTTTAGCCATATCTCTCACTAGGGTCGCCACAGAATTGGTCACATTGAATGACAGAATACACACACCGAAATTGGTGGCGAACGTCATGAAGTCAGGAGCGAAAATGTCATACTTCGGAGCAACGTCAGCTGTAACCTAAGTTCGAATCAGTAAAAAAGGCTCATACTTGGGGAAATTCTTACCCCTGTCACGATGCCGTTTACTGCCACAACACCAAAAAGCACCAAAATGGCGACCATACCACAGGTGGCGACGTAAGAGACTTCATTCATCGTCTTAAGGAAGGTGAACGGGACGAAAATCACAGCCCATATACCGACCCAACCTTTCTGCCCGACAGAAGGGACCAACTTTTGCAGTGTCTCGCCCAAGAGCACCAGTAGTGATGCACAAATACCAGACATTGTGATATGAACAATTAAAGCAGTGATGAAATGACCTGAACATAAAGTGATAATATAAACACAGTATGTGTTAGTGGTTACCTATTCGACCGTAGCACGCCTTTCCCAAATCTTCATAAGTGTAGACGTGTCCCTTCGATTTCGGGCATAAAGAGATGCCATCATAAAGTTTGGTCACATTGAAACCAGCAAATAGAGCACCAAGAATTAAGCATACAAAACCACCAACCCAGCCACAAGCTGCGAACACAGTGGGAAGCATTACAACTCCCATACCTGCTCAACAACAACAACAAAAGCCAATACGAACTCCAACACCAGATGAGGATAACTTACCAATAGCCGACAAAACGACACTGAAGACACCTCTGATATCGGAGCACTCGCCGTGGACTTCCTCTGCTGCTGCGTTGCTCTGCTTCTGGATATCTGCTGAGCTAGACGCCGACTTAGGAGACATCGCAGCAGTAGCAGAGTCATCCATAACGTGCATCTCGACATCGCCTGAGCTCTTGCCGCTGGGATCCGTCACACTCTCTTCTGTGCGGTTTTTTTTGAATAAACTCGTCAAAGACATTATTAAATAGGCGATTACAGCGCTACAAGTCAACACATGCCTACGACACGACCGCACAGCACATCTACTCACTGTTGTAGCCCTACCGTAAATTCCAAACTTCACGCTATAAATTTGGCATCCTTATACCACAAAAACGAGCCTCTTGAAAAAGAGAGGAATCATCTAGCTACACGCTAGTCGGAAGGAGCCAGCCGTTGCGTGTTCGCTGTCTCCTCAGGGACTTCCATGCTGTTCGGCACCTTGTCAATGGTTTTCTACAGAGTTTTAGACACGCCATTGAGAGAGGGAGCGTGCAGGCCCCCGAGTGGTGAGCTCTTTCTTTTCCCTTCCCTCCGTAGCGGGGGCCTCAGGCTTATACGAGTAGGAGGTAAAATAATAGACTGCCTTAACCAGCACTCCACAATCACATCACTAGCTCATGAAATAGACTAGTTGGTTAAGCCTGATTACTCTCACTCGTGCCACAAAGGTTCAGATCTCTGCAAAGGAACGTTCTCAGCATTTCGCTGACTCTTTCCACAACAACAGTGTTACGGTTCTCTCCTCGACTCGGTACGTGTAGCCGTTGATTCGGTGTATCCCTTCCCAAGGGGGGTTCACAACGACTTCGCTCGACACTGTGGAACACGGAACTGTTCAACACATGAAGCAAGGATGAGACTATTCACAGCATGAGTAATCATGACGGTAACTGCCAGTATATCACTGCAAGTGTCGAGGGACAAGGAACACAATATTGCAGCACGCATGCTCATCTGCCAATTCGCATTGCACTTCGGTTCCGCTACGTACTCACTCCAGAGAGCAACTTCCCGATCTTCTCTGCGTTCCTACGGAAATACTACGACGCGTCGTCCACCAGAAGGAGCCGTGCACTACTGCCAACTACAGAGCGAGCAAAATCAGATATAGAACGACGAAGTTCTTCGTGGCTGCGTACCATGGACGGGACAGACTGTGCTCGTGCTACAGCTCATCCCACTGCACTCAGGGTTGAGACTAGCAGCACAGTAGTGTCAGAAATAAGTCAATCGCTGAATAAATTTAAGCTATCTCCGGCACGATCAGATCGTACATTCTCAGAAGGTTCCGGATCATATTTCTGTCTTTTTTTTCAATTTTTTATAAACTCTCCTACGTATCTGTGCTTGCCCGATTGTGACTCCGAGTGGTAACATATCATACCGCTCGCTTCAATGTGACTAGTCCTAACTCTTGAGCCTATTTCACAAGAAAAAGCTCCTTAAAGTTGACCTTGAATTTAGAAGCAAGGAGCCTTACACCTTACGCGAGGTGCCTTTCACTACAGTTGAACCTCACGCTCCTCATGCTTCTAAATTCGAGGTGCACCTCGTGGAGGTACCTTACGATCTTTGCTTTTCAAGAGGGTTTGTGAGATAGGCCCCTGGACACTTTCCATAGACCTCATAGTGTCGAGCACGAAAAGGCGTGCGCGGTTGACCTTCGATTCTGCGATCGCTATCGTCGCAACTGCTCGATCTTCCTCATGTTCAACAATTCTGGAATTCAGAATAGACTCTAGCATCGTATTGTACGTGTAAGCAGCGATTCTGAGTTTCGAAATCGGTTCACTGAATGATCCTCTTATTTCGTCATCAGATGTTCTTAACTCTTGATGCGACTTCAACAGACTATACTGTTACCGAGCAGCCCCACGCGAAGTGCGAAAAAGTCGAAATTGAAATTCTCTCGAAGTAGGTTTGATTCTGACCGCATCGAACGTTCATGGAATCCATTCTGATGAGAATTTTCATATGAAGAATATCAACGCCATTTACGATCAGAAAAGGAGCAATAAGATGCATATCCCTGAGCGGAAACGAAACCTTCGCACGATGGAGGCTCGCCACGATGAAGTCAGTGCGGCGAATAAGGCGGATTAAACGGAAGCTACTCGAGAGAGTAGTCATTCCGAGGTAAAGGGCAGCTTTTAACCAGATCACACGTGTGTACGGAATTCCACCTCAGATTGAGAAAACTACTGAAAATGGTGTTCTCCGGCTGGAGTGCTCACACATGCTTTGCATTTACTGTCGAGCCATGGGTAGCTGTCGAGGCCGATCGCTCCAAGTTGAAGGCTCATTTGACGTCGTGGAGACAGTACGTCTATGAGTTCATCATTAACCTCTCCTTGCTTCTCTGTGGGACCAACTTAAAGGCTGATCTATTTTTAGGCACATCTCACGTAAGCGTCATCTCAACGATCAACTATCATGCTTCATAAAGTTCCACCAAAAGCGATCCCTGGCAAAGTATGGCGATTTCGGCTCATTGACTGGTCCGTACGCGTCCCTTGTCAGGTCAATCTTGGCCTTTCGGAAGCACCATAGTGTACTTCAGCACGGTAGACGACTGAAGGCGTGGACGCAGTTGCAGAAGCTTTCCGCTGTATAGATCACTTCCCCTGCCACCGAGCAGCACGTTATGGGTCTTCTCAGATTCTCACACTATGGCGGTCTGCTCTCACTCGAATACAAATTGCTATCTCTGCATTGCAACGCCGGTCGGCTTCCTTGAACCGGCGAATTCTCGCCTCGTGGAGACTACATAGCGTTACCATGAACACAGGGCGCGCGCTACATTCCGCAACAGCGAATAAGCGCATTTCAAGGCTCTTCAACGAGTGGAATACTCTGCAGAATCGATACCGCAATAACCGCAAACTCACGAGAGCTCTCGGCCGATTCCAGCTAGGTGTTTCACTGTGGAAAAAGGAACGCGTGGCGAGGCGAGAGATAGAAATCTTCGCTGTGCGCAGAATGATACTCAGCCATCTGTCTGTGTGGCACGCAGAAGCAACGAGGCGAAACTCAGGTCGGGACGAGCTCGCGAAAGGTCGTTTGCGATCCATCCTGGCTCTCTGGTTTGGGCTATTCCGACGGAGTGCACTGAAACGATGGTTCGCCTTATGGCGGTATAATTCGCGTCGATGCTCTCAACGACGTGTTGTTCTTATCCGAGTTGCAGAAGCCTGGCTTTCCCTGGCACGGCGAACGAGGAAGCGATACCTGTTGGTTTTGTTGCATGCGTGGACTAAAGCGACAGAGCGAACTCGAACGCTGTCGAAGTCAGTGAGAAAACGGGTTACGGAACGCCACTTCATGGTGTGGTACGGTTTACTGTGGACGGCTCAAGTCGGCCTGATAGGAGATTCCTTACGAATTGCTGATAAAATTGCGTCTTGTTTTAAGCGGTGGATGAGGATCTCGAGGAGTCGGAGAAAAATCAGAGAAGTTTTTTGGAGACGACCAGTAGAACGCAGGAGAATATTTAGAGCGTGGTCGCGGCTCCAGCGAGCTGTTCGCTACGACAAGCATAAAGAAATGCGGAAATCTTTAAGAATCTTGCGAGTGCGTTATCGAAAGAAGATACGAATGAGGTTGGATGACCGACGTAAGGCATCTGTCATCGAGTCGTTACGAAGAAGAAAAATTTGGGTCGAAATGAGGAAAAATATCGTGGCGCGTGAATTTGCACGACGGCGAATATTCAAAGCATATAGGAAAACAGCGATGATGCTGCAGTTGGGACGGTCGCATCGCTCCGCTCTCCAGGAGATGATTTTAGCAAAACACTTCACTGCTATGCGACGACTTTGCGGTGCCCTCTTCATAGGGCGTGGGAATTTGGAAAACAGTAAGTCTTCATAAACCCTCTTATGGAATCGCTCTGTTCGCAACCGTAAGCATCTAAATTTCGTGAAAACTGTACCGTGGTCCTTGCCATTGAGAAACTGCTAAGAACTACTTTGGAGTCCGCATCGGCCCATACGAGAAATGTGGATCTAACGGTAGAGTTTGTAAATATTGAATTCCTGTTCGCCCTCAGATTGCTTTCGCTATTGGTCTACTACTACCAAGGCATTGCGACATTTACGACTAACGAGCCGGAGCCTTCTTTTTGATCACTTGATCGCATGGCGAGAGAGGGTAGGGCGGTAGACCACAGACGAGTCGTGAAGAACTGTTATCATCAGACGGTCGCCTCTTCGCGTTTGCGATCTATTGCCTATGCAATTCTGGTTGGTCAACTCAGATCTGCGTGGCGCGGCTTCCGTGAGGCTCTTAGTTTGAGAAGGTGAGAAGAGCTGCTTTTCGTTTGTAGCACTTGTGCCAATTTTGATGAGTTCTAGCTGGATTGATCGATGCTTGGTTTTCTCAGATTGTATGGTCAAGTGCCTCTGCCTTTGCTCGACGATTCTCCTGATCTGTGGTTTACCCCGAAAAGTAGCTTCAGGCGAGTTCGTGTTACATAGCATGTTACACCATTTATTGTTCGAACGTTGTGTTAGTCGTTAAGTAAACTCAATCGCTTCGCTGATCGAACCTGTCAGCGGAACTGTTCACAGTATGTCTAGTGGAGGCATTGACTCAATGCAGCCCCTTAGAGAACAACAAGAGAATAACAATACTAGCAGGGGCAACGGTACAGTGCTCGCGTCATCATCACCGCGCCACAAAATTGTATCAGCTGTTCGCCTTACAGCAGTAGCCAGCTCGGTCCTCTTACAGCGACTGTTGTACCTTAACGTACTCTTTGACGCCCTACTGTTCGCTCCTGGGATGATCATTTCGTGGATTGTCAAAGTGAGAAGGTCAAAGCGCACAACTGTAAATGATTATACAGGGGGCACCCGCCGAAGCTCATGAAAGATCGTATCAAGTTCTGCTGCCCATGGTCATCATAGTATTGGCTCTAGAGGGGCCTCGGCTCGCTTTGGGCTACAGTGGGAACCTTGGAGAACGTGTAGGCTCACTTTCAAACACTATTCACCTGCGATATATTTGCTCTATTTATTCGATATCGTTGTGGAATCCTCAAATTGGAGCTCGAGTGGTATCCGGCTTTTCCGTAGGTACCTCATCTTTTTCTCTGGTTGATCGTATCTATATTCCCCTTACTCTTTGTGCTGATCGCTATCCTCATTACCAGGGCTCAGGTCGATGAGCTAACATCAACAATGTGCCCGTAAGGTCATTGGAATCGTGCTCTACATGGTCAACAACATGTGTCGGTGACACTATGAAATAATGAGAAAATGTTCGTTTCTGAAGTCGTATATGAGTTTAGATATTCCTGGACTCAGCTGATGAAAGCGAACATATATTTCAACACTGATGCCTCTGTTAGTTCATGTTTGACAAGCTTCGAAGTGGTGCTCATTTGCCTCGAGATTTCCCTGGTCATCGTCAGCGTCCTGGTCGGAATCGCCGTCATACGAAGACTGATTGCAGTGAAGACATTTCGATTCTATGAGCAATATTTCGTCACTAGCATGAATGACTTGCAACCTCCAAGATTCTATTCCTCTTTCGGACTGTGTTTTAATGCTTACCGACTCGGTGCAGTCGCCTGTACGCGAACCTTCGGAGAAATTCTTAGTTCAAATTGTGAGTAGAAGAGCTGCATCATCACGAGGAAAATGGGTATCAATTCAACTCTCTCATTCGAATGAAAGACATGGAGCGGAATGAACTCCCTGCGTATCACCGTTCTGTGTGTACCGTCTCGGTCCAAGGCTGCGTGTCACCGTTGTGCTCATCGCAGAGCACATAGTGACCACTACTGTGGTGCTGGGTGTCTGACACATGTTTTTCACTCCCCACGGGATGGTCCCTCTGGGGCTGATGAATTCGCGACACGACGAGCTCTTCTCCTAGTGTTATGTTCGGGTATCTCCCACTGCAGACTACCCTCGTTCGAATGGCTGCACATGAAATATCATTTCACCGAGTGTTGTCATATTATGATGCTCTCGAACGGATCGATGCTGTTCTTTTCAATCTCGAAGATTCCACGAGTAGCTTTTCAATATCTTTGCTATCTTTGCTCTTTGCTTTTTTATTTAAAACATAGACGGGAACTCAAACGCTACACAGACGACGCGTAAATTTGTAAGAGTTGCACATGACAAGGAAAAGTTCCACCGGTTGATCCCTTTTGCATAACTCTAGCGTTTGTGAATATTATGAGTATTATTACGCCGAAAACCTCTTGAGGGGACGCACTGTGACTATCATGCTCTTGTCACTAAGGAACTGAACACTTTTACTGGGAGGATAGCTTCATTACTCGACTACGTCGATAGATGCTTCATCTGTTGACGAAGTAATGGTATGCTACGCTTAAGCGAAAAAATAAAGAGTACTTCGTTAGAGAAGTTTTAACAATGAGACGGAGGAATCATACCGATAGCCGCCTAGTCACAGGAGCCGGGAGGGCACGAGACTGGCAGACCGCTGTTGCAGCCCTTGTCGATACCATGTACACAAAGGGCAGTGCGCTGCTGGTTAGTGTAATACATACCACGACATATATTCCTGTCACAGCGGCAATAGACGTTGGCGTCAGGGTGCTTCTTGCAGGCATCCTTATTAAGTCTGTTGCACTCAGAGACGCAGGTAGAGCCAGGAGGTGCCGAACTGCATGGAACGGGGTCGCTGGCAGCACCATAACCACATCCCTTATCGACGCCATCGATGCAGGTAGTAGTGTGAAGGTCATCCTTGAAGTAGAGATCGCGGCATACATTCGTGTCAACGCGACACTCCAGTTCCCTGTGGAGTTTCTGACACTGATTGTTGCCGTACATGTTGCATAGTCTAGTGCAGACCTCAGTAGGCTGAGCAGTGGCAGCGGCGAATACGAACAAAGCCGACTTTAGCATGGGCATTGCTAAGGGTGAAGTTTAAGTGAAACTACGGATAAATATCAAGGTGCGAATGAGCAGAATATTCGACGTCACTCAACACGCATGAATCTCGCTCGCCCATGAACAACAAACGAAACGGCTGACGCACAGACGGCGTCACTGAAATCCGTGTCTATTATCACTAAAAGTAGCGCGCGCCATGTGCAATGCTGCGCTTCCGAATCCTACTTGAAGTACCGCCATTCTTTCTCTTGCAGATACCGTAACATACCGCATCGGGCTCAAGGTTTGCATTCACATGAGACTTTCGGATTAATGAGGTTTGAAGACTTCGTTCTATATCACCCCAGAAGAAATCGATCAGCTGGGCGCGCGCTACTAGCGACCAACTTTAGTGACACTGTCCGGAAGGGCGTCTTCATCATTTTCAAGAGTCAATAACAAGTCGACTTTAACTAAACTTGTCCGAGGCCATTTGACAAGCAATAACCCAACAACGCTATAGTCCCTCATGACGGTGTGCTGATCACAGTTCCGTACGCCACGAGAATCCACCGAGCACACGCGACTGTACGTGACCGTAGCACGTCACGTGACGTGACGCACAGCACGGGAACGAGATCTAAAGGTCTCTTACGTTCTTTCTACCATCCTTAGCGATCTATCTCCCTTTAACTCTGGCATAGCGTTGGTAAATGACGACAACGGGATGACGGGCGAGGATGGAGGTATGTGAAGTGTCGTCACCGTCTAGGAGATTGTCTGTGATAATACACAAAGCTGATGCTATCGAGTTGTCTCTCTAGCTCGCCAACGCTAAACTCTGTAAACGGTTTTCGTTTCTGTTAATACCTCACGTTGTTGAGTCTTCACTGACAGCAAGACGCTAAAGAAGTCGGTCGAAGAGGAGGAAGACGTGATAATTGAATTATTTTTTGTTTTTTCATTGAAAACTGTTTTCAACCAACAACTCAATGCAATTCAGGAAACGGTATAAGGAATTCCGTCCTGACTGTTTGGAAAATTTACTTTCTGAAACGACTAAAAAGTTGACAGATAAAGTTAAATAATCAACCGAAATGTTGTACAGCACCGTATGTGCCAATGATTATCATTGGTATACACCATATTAAGACTACGACTATAATAAAGCTCTCTAGTTTATGCTTGCGGACGTAGACACCGAGCGAACCTGAACTAACGATGACGAAACGACCAACCACGACAATAGTTCACCTTCGTTCATTTGCCTAACTCTGACGTAGTATATACAAGGCATCATAGCAACCATAAACACCATCGTCACCGAGCCCACTAAATCAAGGAGACTTGACAAGTTGGGAACCGATACTGCAATGATCGCCGTAAAGACGATGCATCCTAGACGGACTAGAAAACGGCGTAATGCAGCCGGTCGTGAATTGTCATCAACAGGAATGTGAAACACATATTCTGCTGATGATACTATCGGCAACAGGAGTACCTGCATATAAACACATATATGATAGCCCTGAACAATTGCTCGTCACTCACCACGTAGTGAGGGATGGCTGTAAGCAATATCGCAATTATCGTTATATAAGCCCAAACACCAGAGACTGCGTCACCAGGGGGAACGATCAAATCCAATATCGGTCGTTCTAGCAGCGCTCTACCGTAACCGTAATAGCCGCAAATTCCTATTGCGACGTAACTGAGCAGCGAACGCATGCTTGCACGATACCGTGTCGAGCAATGGAGTTTCACAACAACCCGTTTTACGTGAAGTGGCGTAATACTCTAGGTGATATTCGCGGCATGCAGTAGTCGCGAAATATATTTTTCACTAGTGTTCTTCATATCACTAGGTTGAAACTTCAATGTTGCCAAACATATGTTCGCTTCCCGCTCAGCCGAGCTCAGAAGTTCACTGAATGACCATACGAATTGAGGTTGAAGCGATCAAAAACCAACTCGAGATTTTCCAAAAATTTTCACCGACACATGCACAAGACTTTGTAGATATTTTCCCATACTGATATTGGATCTCATCAAATTACAACTTAACATTCAAATACTGCGCGACGCGACACGCACATGAGCACAAATCTACAAATACGAAGCCGTATATAAACATGGTAAAACACGTAACTCTTCATACAAGCAGTGTTGAAGTAGGAATACATGTTCGCTTTCCTCAGCTCAGCTCAGGAGTTTCCAAAGCTAATTATAGGAGTTTATACAAGACTTAGGACTACGTTCTCAGAAGCTAGTAAGAATTTCTCAAAATTTCTTTTTGTCACCAACACATGTACCCGACCATGTGCAGAAGCCTACAAATACGGTAACGTATATAAGCAAACTATAGCAGTAAAACTCTTCGTACAGGCAGTGTTGGAGGAACATATGTTCGTTCTCCTTAGCTGAACTCAAGAGTTTCCTCACAAAAAAATTACACAAAAATTCGGGTAGAAATGTACAAAACCAGTAAAAATTTCCCAAATTTCCTCATTGCCCATACAAGGCCAATATTTCCCCACCAGGGAGTCATCAAAGAACTTAAAATGTTCCCGGAGGGAACGAATTTTAGACCTAAAATGGCTAGGAACGTATTTTCGGCCAATTTTTGACATTTCCCCCATTATAATCGCTCATTCGGAACGTTTTTCCTAGTCTCCGCGAGATCTCAGGAACTTTATTTCTGAGAGCTCGACAAGGCCCCACTTACATGGTATAAATCATAACATACGCCACCCTGGAGACCGGCACGAAGCGTTTCGGTTGGCTCATATCGCGCACCAGAGTAGCCGTCGAGTTGGTGGTATTATACGCCAGAATAGACACGCCGAAATTCGTTGCTAATTTCGTTACGTCGGCAACGAACATATCATGCTCTACCTCTTCGTGTGATGTCAACTGAAAAATTCAAATAATATTTCTCACAAGTTCGGCCACTTTAACGCAGCGTTGGGACAAAAGCTTGGTTTTCTCAGCTGAGCTCAGAAGTTGAATAAGAGCAAATCACCAACAATAATTTCACAAAATTTTCCTCAGAATTTCATTCATCCCATCATATGTGAATTTTCCCATACCGACTCTCGGAGTCATCCTAATACGCCAATGTTAAGAAATATGTTCGCTTTCCTCAAATGTAAAAGCCTATATACGAATTCGGGTAAAAATAGGCAAAAAAACCAACGAGAATTTTCCCAAAATTTCCTCAGAATTTTTCATATTGTCACCAACACATGTAGTAGTTGACACTGATATACACTCGGGAAAAATCAAAAGTGCAGTGTGAAAATATATTTTTGTTTCCCTCAGCTGAGCTTAGGAGTTTCCTTACTATTCATAGGCGTTTACCTACGAATACGAATAGAAATGTGCGCGAATCAATTAAAATTTCCCAAAAATTTCCTCAAAATTTTCATATTGTCACCAACACATGTAGTCTACACTGCTACAAAACCAAACAGAAACATTGGTGCTGAAATATGTGCTTGCTTTCCTCAGCCGAATCTCGGATTTTCCTCACTAATTATGAAATTTTACATACAAAATTCGGGTAGAAGTATACAGAACTAATAAAAATTTCCACAATTTTCGTCAGAATTTCCACAAATTTCACCTTTACACATGTATTTGACCATGTGCATATCCCCCCAGAAGAGATCGACTACTTACCCCAACCATAAGCCCATTAGCACTGATTATAATAAATAAGGTGAGAATCGATACCATACCAACTGCTGCGACATACGACACTTCATGCATCGTTCGTAGGAAGGTGAATGGTATGAAAAATACTGCCCAAATCACTATCCATATACGTTGTGATAATGCTGGTATCAACTTCGTAGTATTCTCACCCAACAACACCAACAACGATGCACATAAACCAGCCATAGTGAGATGTACAACGATAGCCGTAAATATAAAACCTGAGAAACACGGTATATTCAAAAATAGTGACACGTCTGGGAAGAAAAACTCCCAAATGTAGTGTTGGGGGAATATATATTACCACAATTATAAAACTTCATATACTCGCAACATGAATCTCGAAATTTACGCAGAATTGTCACAGTGTCAACACATGTGCATATTTAAATTTAATTATATTTAAAAAATGCCGCTGCCGAGGATCGAACCCGACTACTTACCCGCTTTCCCAAAGCAAACTCTTCCTAGTTCCTCATACGTATACACTGGTCCCTTCGATGACGGCGTCAATGTTATTCCCAAATATAAACGTGATAATGCGAATAATGCAAATACGCATCCCAGAGATACCACTAGTATTCCGCCGATCCAACCACTCGCTGCTAATATTGATGGTAACATAACTACGCCCAAACCTGAAAAAAGTTAATTTACTTCAAAAGTGTGAAAAACGCGATTCGAAAATACTTGGCGAATTGCGCGTAAAACATATCATATTCACTTCACACGTGCAGATTAAATGCGAAAATTATTTTTGCACATCACAGGTGAAACTCCATTGTTATCTTTAACATCAAAATACTCAAATTTATTTGTAATTCTACTATGATGAATAAACCCGCATATAGGAAATGATCAACCCACCAATCGCCGACAAGACGATGCTAAGCACAGCTCTAACATTCGAGCATTTCCCTTGTATGAATTGCGACTGGCTCGGCCCTTGAGTTTTTTCTGACGAATCAAGACGCTCCATAGGAGATAAAATTAAAAACTACAACAATCCAATTTGAACGAAGGTATTGAACGAAGCCATGATAAACACAACAATGTAGTTTCCAGTAACTAACTAAACGCAGCATTAAAAGGGTCACTCGATCGCGGCGTTTGGGTCTGGGGATGAAAATTCTCCGCAGCGATGCGAAGATTTGAAACCGTGGGCATCTTCGGACGTTGGCGAAGGCGGCTGCGTACCGGACGCACGCTGGTGAAGCGTCGCTCCGGGTTGACTTTTTAATGTTGGGTTAACGAGTTACCCCGTGGTATATAGTAAGACTAAGAAGCTAGCTAAAGGTCAGGCTAAGTATCAAGGATTGTGTACAGGTGTCTCCGAAAAAGTCTACAGTGTCATCAGTTTTGCAAACTATTCAATATCTCCTCACACCAGTGCAGTGCTGCAAAAAATGTTCGCTCTCCTCAGCTGAGGTCAATATTTTTCTCACTGATCATAGGATTTCACATACGAATTGGGAGAATATATACGATTAATGTACTGAAACTAACAAGAATCTTCCAAAATTTCCTCAGAATTTTCATATTCTCACCAACTCATGTGGTTAACCATGCGCATATTTCACCACACTGCACCAGTGAATTGAAGTAGGAATATATATTTGATTTCCTTAACTGAGCTCGTAAGTTTCCAAAGCTACATTATGGAAATCCACAAACGATTTCGGGTAGAAGTATACACGCCCAACAAGTACAAGTACATACCAGTGTTGGAGGAATACATGTTCCCTTTCCTCAGCTGAGCTCAGAAGTTTCCTCACCAGTTATAGGAGTTTAATATACGAATCGGGAGAATGTATACGCTCGACCTTCATTCAACTAGTCGACTCCATCTAGTGATCATACTCTGGTGATTCGGTAGGTTAACATCATTAAATCCAAAGTTCATCATCATCATCATCACGTCACGTCACCACTCGAAGATACGTGCTTAGTTGAGTAATGACGAGGTAACAAGATAATATGAGCAGTTGTAATTATCGCTCGCCCGTCATTCATTTGATGTTGTTGCTGCTGGTCCTAACTGTTCAATTGAAACGGTCCTTAATTACGAGCAATACATGATACAACAATCACTCCTCTTGGGCTTTCAAGCTTTCCCCTTTTTTACAGCAACTTGCAAATAGTACGGTGCGGAGCAAACGAATACTGGGGAACGATGCAAAGCTGCACGAGAATATGAAGCAGCTACAACAAACCCCTGCGAGCATCTAGATGCTGCATGAGGGCCAAAAACTGCCGATTGAAGGTCTTGCGGCGGTTTAAATCGACAACCATTTTATAGAAGTGATAGGGTACACCACCTTTGACCCGTTTCCTAGCCTGCTCTAGGAAACGGGATGATGAATCGGACGATGGATTCTACGACTACACCTTTTAAACATCTAGTTCGTCTTTGGAACCATCAATTTCGTCGGGACGCGCGAAGTTGGAGGTACGAATCCGAAACGGGAAGATCATATTCGCAATTAGAACTTTCAACTTCGTCATAGAACTTTCAAGTTCGTCCGAAGTCGATAGGAAGTTCAAATTCGTGTTAATAGAACTTCTAATTTCGACTTTCGAACCTTAGAATCCGTCATAGAACTTTCAACTTCGTCGAGTACACCTTCATACCTTCGATTTCGTCCCTTTAGGAAAATCGACTTCGTCGTTCGGAACTTCAACTTCGTGTTACCGGGGCAATTATGCCAGTACTCTCATGGTGAGGCTCGTGTTTTGCTAACCGTGTCACTCGTCCGTGGGCATCATGCAGAACCAAGCCTCTGCGACACCCATCCATGCGGCCGCTGCTCCCGCTCACCCCGTCATATCTCCTGACCGCGCGCACATGGCTCGAAAACATGGCGAGGAGGCATCGTTCCGCTGTCACAGCTCGCTTCTGCGGGCATGCTATTGGGTTGTTGAGTGAAGCAATCAACCACGAATACATGCCTGCCGGTGGTTGACTATGTCGTTTTCTTGATCGAGCCAGTCATATGAGTGGCTGCCAGCTACT